AACAACAACAACAACAACAACAACAACACCAGGTCTATCTCAAAGTGAAGGGTTCTTTGTAAAAGAAACAAATTAAAGTTGTTCCTCTGAAGAAGGAGAGGAAGGAACCAAGGGAGGAAATGGAGCCTGTGTCTAACTGACTCCATGAACAACGGCGCTCTTTACCATGAAAGCAAGAAAAACTGGATGCTGCTATTGTCACTGAACATCTGCATCCAAGGTTCTATAGAATCCTGGTCAACAGGGGGAAAATGCAGAACAGAATTTAAAATTTTAATGGAATCCAGGCTTCCTGGAACAATTGAGTCTAAACTATTGTCCTGAGATGATCTTTAAACCTAAAACTAAAAATATTCCTTGAAGTTTTCTTTAAACGAAACAGTTGTCGTTAAGTACCACCTCGTCAGTTCTGACTCATATCGACCCTACACAAAGTTTTCAAGGAGCACCTGGTAGATTTGAATGTCTGATCTTGGGGCTTGCAGTCCGGATTTTCCCTACAATGCCACAGTAGGACCCCAATAGTTTAGCCAAATTAGTAAATAATTTCTGCTCTGATATACTTTACTAATTAGGCTAAGTGGAGTCCTGGTGTGGCACTATAAGATAAGCACTTGACTGCCAACCACAAGATCAGTGGTTCAAACCCACCAGCCACTCCTCAGAAATATTTTACAGGGTTGTTATGAGTCAGAACTGGCTCTATGGCAATTAACAACAACAACATTGGAGTTATAGTTTAAAGTATAGCATAAATAATAGTAATAGGACAAATCACTCATCTGTCAGTTTGTCATACTGTGGTGGCTTGCATGTTGCGTGGATGCTGGAAGCTATACCACTGGTATTTTAAATACCATGAGGGTCACCCGTGGTGGACAGGTTTCATTGGAGCTTCCAGACTAAGACAGAGCAGGGGAAAGGCGAGGCAGACTGCTGAATGGTTAGCCACTGAAAACCTTAGGAAAATCAGCAGAGCATTATCAGATACGGAGTACTGGTGTGGTGCTATAGGATAAGCACTGGGTACAAGGCTGCTTTGAGCTGCAAGGTTGGTGGTTCAAATCCACCAGCTGCTTCTTGGAAATGCTATAGAGAGTCACTATGAGTCGAAACCCACTCAACAACACTAAAACAACAACATTATCAGATATGGTGCTGGAACATGAAAATCTTATGAATAGTACCAGAATACTGTCAGACTTGATGCCAGAAGATGAGCCCCTCCTGTTGGAAGACACTCAGAATACAACTGGGGAAGAGCTGCCTCCTCAGAGTAGAGTTGGCTACAGAGAAGAACAAACAAATTTGTGTTGGAAGAAGTACTTCATTTCTCATACTTCAAACTTGCTATCAGGAGGGACCAGTCCCGGAGGCGGGGCTTGATGGCGGCTAGGCTGGAGGTGCAGTGAAGTTCGCCGTCAGCAATACCACAGAATACCAGGCAAAGCAGATCCAGGGAAGAGCGCCAAAACTTGGAACCACAGAGATGGGACTACTTTGAAGGTTTGAAGGCTTATAGATTAGGAAACTTGAAGCTGAAGTAAAAAATCGTGTACTTTTGAATTTGCCGGGCTGGGCTCGGAGGCCCGGAGCCAACATCTTGGGCGAGACCAAATGGCAAGACCAAGCAGGGAAGCAGAAACACCACAGAAAAATGCCGCGGGAACCTTGGAGCAAAGGTGGACAATGCACTTTGTCAGTTTTGCTTTGTTCTGATTTTCTTTTCTTTCTTTCTTTTTTGTATCTGGTCATTGGTGTGCCCACTGTTTGCCCACCTACATTCTGGTGACTAGAGGGGGAGCCTGAGCGAGTAGACACCCCCCACACTCACCACGGGTGGGTTCTTCTGCCATGCATGCGCACAGATACTCAGCCCAAGAACAGGCCCTGAAGGCTTTTTGTTTGTCTTTTGTTTTGATTTTTAATACGGGAAAGGGCAGCACAGGGCTGTAGAGAGGGAAAGAGAGTTTAAAAACAAAACAGGCTGAAAATTAAATTAAAGCCTGAGGTATAGCATAACAACCAACACTGGCATCTTGAAATCTTTCAGGCAGCTGTGACAGCAAGAATCTGAAGAGAGGACATTAAAGTCATACTCATATTAGGCTACAGATTTTTTTTTCTCTTCTTTCCCTCCTCTCCCTTTTCTGTGACTATAGACTGCAGTATTCAGTCTAGTTTTTGTTGTTGCTGTCTTTTGTTTGTTTTTTTTGTCTCTTGTTTTTTTTCGCTGGTGCTGTTTTGCTCTTATATGTTCCCCTTTCTACCTTTGGAGGACTCTTTCTCTCCATATATTACCTAAGAAAAAGAAAAATCAGCAACTGCTACCATATAGCCAAGCTACAGTCACATTCTATAAAACACCAAACCCCAGGCAAGAAGCAATACCAACTGCCACATAGCAGGGAAACAGACAACTCTGGTGAAAGTTACTCTGAGTTAAGCAATAAGAAGAGTGAAAAGGGAAGTAATCAGAAAGCATAAAAAATACTAAAAAATATACTCAAGTATTAAGTCCACAGATAAACACTAAACATGTCCAAGAAGCAAAAGCAGATGACCGTATCAGCACATGTCCAGAAACAATGTAAAGTGTCTGAGACAAATGACCTAGAAGTAGACCTGGACTCCATTCTGGAAGGAGGGCAGGTCTTGGAAATGTCTGAGAAGGAATTCAGAAAAATTATTCTAAAATGTTTCCAAATACTTTACAATGGAATTGAGAAAAATAAGGAAGATGTCAGGAAAGCACTAAAAGAACAATTAAATAAGATAGTTACATTATTGGAAACAATTCAAAACATACAGAAAGAGGTCCAAACAATAAATAACAGAATATCAGAAATAGACAATACTCTGAAAGGGCAAAGGAGTAGAATAGATGAGATGGAAGGCAGAACCAGTGAGCTGGAAGACAAAT